CACTCTCTCTCTCTCTCTCTCTCTCTCTCTCTCTCTCTCTCTCTCTCTCTCTCTCTCTCTCTCTCTTCCTTGCCGTTGTCCTCCTTGTCAACCCCCCCTTTTTGTGTTTTCTCCCTGTCGGGCCTGTCCTCAACCTCCTCGTTGTCGACCCCACCCTCCTTTCCGTCCTCCTACTCGTCAACCCTGCCCTCCTTTTCTTTCTTCGTCCTCCTTATTGTCAACTTCGCCCTCCTTCGTCGTTCTCCTCGTCCTCTCCTTCTCCTCCTCAAAATTGCGAATTGTCCAATATTTGGCGGAAAAAAACAGAGGAGGAGGAGGAGAGGGAGGAGGACAGGGAGGAAGAGAGGGAGAAAGGAAAGTAGGGGTGGAGTTGACGGCAACTAGGACTAGAAAGGAGGTGAGAGTTGATGACGAGTAGTAGTAGGAGGGGAAATGGGACATGACGAGGAGGAGGAGGAAGGTTCATTGGGACAATCGTTGAAATTGGGACGATACAGAGATGATTAGCATGGCCCCTGTGTGAAGATGAGACACATAAATGGCAAAATGGGCCAATATTTGGCACAAAAAAAAAAGGAGAGGGAGGAAGAGAGGGAGAAAGGAACGTAGGTGGAGTTGACGATGATGAGGACTAGAAAGGAGGGGGGAGTTGATGACGAGGAGTAGGAGGAGGGGGAGAAAGGGGACATGACAAGGAGGAGGAAGGTCCATTGGGACAATCATTGAAATTGGGACGATACAGAGATGATTGTCTGCTTATGCATCTGAGATTCTGTGAGTAGTGTGCGCACTGCAGTGACAGCATGCAGCACAGCAGTCACTCAGGTATTGTAATCACGTTGCCATGTACTGTCGTTTTTTTTTTTTTTTTTTTTTTTCCCCGGACAGTCTAGGGGATCTGGACCGGGGATCCGGTCTTGTCCGGATGTTCCGGAACATTTTTTGGAAGTCTGGAGGGCCCTGGGAAGTCTGGGGCTCGGGGTCCGGATTCGGTCCGGCGTAGCTATGTATGCCACCCATGTTCTGCACAGAGGGACTTGAAGTAGAGTGCCGTTTAGTTCCTGCATTTCCCAGTTCCCTGTGTGTGTAGGGTTGCTGGGCTGTCGCATCCCTTTTAATTTTTGGAATTTGAAATGGATGGGGAGTGCAGCTTGGATGATGTCCCACTGGAGTCCAGCATGGCTGCTAGGAAATTGGAATCGGCATCTCTGCCGCAGAATCCGAATTGCCGAGGGCTACCACAAAAGTAGTCGGGAGTTGTGGTGGGCTGCCACAAAAGTATGCGCTCTCTTTTTGTTTTGGTTTGTTTCGTTTTGTTTTGCCTTCTATCTTTTTTTAAGTTTTTTTCCTAATAAAAACGGTATTAAAATCTGGATCATTTCTCGAATTATGCGGCTTACCTTCTAAAGGGCCCTGGCCCAGTAAAATCTTCTAAAGGGCCAGGGCCATTAAAATCTTCTCTTTATCGTTCAAATTTTAATGGGTGTCTGTAGGACGCGCCACAGTAAGTGTTCTTCTTTATCGCCGCTCCAATTTAATGGGTGTCCGATAGGACGCCACGGTACGCGTTCGTTGTGGTCAAAAAGTTCAAAAGATCATTGAAGTGAAGGTGAACATTCAAAATTGACATCTCATCTAGCACAGTCCTCCTGTCCTTTGTGACTGTGCATGGTGTAAAGGTGAGTTTGATTTATTGTCCTATCCAGCATATCAGGGAACTTATACTGCTCTGTGTGTGTGTGTGTGTGTGTGTGTGTGTGTGTGTGTGTGTGAGAGAGAGAGAGAGAGAGAGTTCGATGTGTTAATCCACACCTAACGAGACATAATTTTCAGATATAACGAACCACTCTGTTTTCCAATCTTAAAGTCGATACTCAAGAAGTATAAGACAAGAGGCGCTACAGGTGAAAACTTTTCGAGCGTAGAGAAAACTTCACTCCATTCCCTGTGGGACAAGGGGGGCAGTCCAGAGAAGTACGCTCATTGAATTTGACTTTCCTCTTGTTGAGAATTCAGAGGTTCCTTATCACAGAGAGAGAGAGAGAGAGTGAGAGAGAGAGAGAGAGAGGTTGTGAAAATGATGAGAGAAATCCAGATGTCAAGGAATTGAGGAAAGGCCGAACAGCTCTAAGGCACACTCACATGGGACATCCTTGGATGTTTGTGGTCAGAATGATGGATGGTTACATAGCGTGTTTATGGCGCCAAACTGCTCGAAGAATGCGGACATGATTTAGAATCGAAGTTATCAAACTCGTGAGGATGACGTTGGGTGGCTGACGAAGGGATTACAAAGGGATTGCCTGTCACTATACCAGAGTCCAGGAAAGGCGGCTTGGGGTGGGGGCTGAGGCTACAACTAACTTCCTACAGTCTTCCCCCGAATACAACGTACGGTCATTATAGCTGAATTTAGACCGAAAGATACGCCCAATTCAGCTATAATGACCGTACGTTGTATTTGGGGGAAGACTGTAGTGTATAGTGTGGAGCTGCTTGGTTGCAGGAGGACCGGACCGCTCATGGATTTTGAGAGTGATCTAGTGATATTGTGCTATGGTGCAGGCTTCCCTGAGGGCTGTTTTGGATGGACACATGGGTATTGTGTGTCTGTTTACCTGCAAATGATGACTCGTGCGGCTGTCATGGGCAGTGGTTAGGATGTGTGTGCCCCTGCTTCCTCCTCTACGAGAAGAATGGCTTTGTCATCGTGTTTTGCGGCGGTGGTGTGTCGTAGACGTTACTGTTTTGCTGAGCTGCCGAAAGTTCCTTTAATTGAGTTGCTCTCTTATTTGACTGTTCTTTTTTGTCTTTTGCTGGAACTCGTGCAGCAACTTTTGGCTCTGTCCATTGGGGATCTGCAAAGTGTGTTCCCGCAGCTGCTTCTCTGGTTGGACGGATGCCGGTCGGAGATTCTTTGTGGTGGTCCTGAAAGGCGACCCTGTGCCGGAGTGAAGTCAGAACTTGGCTGTGGCTCCTCTGGCGGAAGAGGAGCATTTATGGGTGATTACCTAAACTGCTTTCCCCGCTCTCTCAGTTACAGGCCTGTGTGTGCCGTCCGTGTCGGTGGAGAAACTGTGAGGGGCGGGAGGGGTGTGCTAGCAGCAGCACTTTGTGCCGAGAAGAGCGCATGCGGTGCGCTGAGATGTGGGTTGCCTAGAAGCTCACAGAAGGCTTCAGGAAGATGCCAGCATGTGGCAAAGACAGCAACTTCAGGCATGCAGATCGGGACAGAGGAGGCACGCATCCATGCCGATGAGGAAATGGATACTCGTGTCCCCGGAAATCTTGACTTCCAGAAAAGGCGCTCAAATGGTGAGGCGGTTCGTCCCTTGGACGAGGAGGTGGTCGTGGAAAAGGATGAGTGTGTACTTGTTGCTGCCCCAGATGTTGATTTCCCTCGCCCTGGCGGACTTGTAGACGGCGGACTGGCCTATAGGGAAACGTTCCTTGTCCGCTGCTATGAAGTCGGTGTCAATCGAACGGCGAGCATTGAGACCATTGCGAACCTCCTCCAGGAGGTTGGAGCTAATCATGCTCAAGCTGCAGGCTTCTCGGCGGATGGCTTTGCAACGACTCCGGCGATGAGAGAGAAACGGCTCATTTGGGTCACCACGCGAATGCACATTGAGATGATAACGTACCCTTTGTGGGGAGATGTGGTGGTAGTGGAGACTTGGTTTCAGCAGGATGGAAAAGTCAGTGTGCGTCGCGATTGGCTTCTGCACGACGCAGGGACTGGGGCGCTCGTTGGCCGTGCTACGAGCACATGGGTGATGATGAATCAGGACACCCGGAGACTCTCGAAAATACCCGAAGAGGTGAAGGCGGAACTGCAAGTGTACTGTCCTAGCCTTCGCCGACACGCTCTTTCGAGCAAAGAAAGCGGGAAGAAGATTGGCAAGATTCCTGAACCAGCGGACTTCCGCAAGTCGGGGCTGAAGGTCCGACGAAGGGATCTTGATATGAACCACCACGTCAACAATGTGACGTACATTGGGTGGATGCTTGAGAGCATTCCCGGGCACGTCCATGACGAGTACGAGCTAGAGAGTGCCACCTTAGAGTATCGATCCGAATGCTTACATGAGGATACCATTACATCTCTTGCTAGTGCAGAGGGTGGAGACCATAGCGCAACGGATGGAACAGTGAGAGCAAGGGCGCCGGAATGTATGCCGAATGGCGAAGGTGATGCCGCGGCTGCGCTTGGAGCCGGTGCTGATGAAGAAGGGTTGAACGCTAGTACAACGGAAGAAAAGCCATCGGTGCAGTTCATCCACGTGCTCGTTCTTCAGGAAGACTCAAAAGAGCTGAGTCGAGGACGGACGCTCTGGCGGAAGAAAGTTACCCGCGACTTCAGTTAGGCTGTGGGCAGCTAATAGTGTTGGGTTGGGTACCGGACCTGGCGCTAGAATTTGTGGTGCAGAGAAGACTGCAGTCAACAAAGAAGGTATTCTTGCTGCGTGTCCTAACGCCCGCATGCCAGGTTGATGCTCACGAGGGAGCAGGCGCATTCGAATCGGAAGCCCGCATGCCAGGCTGATGCTCACGAGGGAGCAGGCGCATTGGAATCGGAAGCTGAGAGGTATGGCTAGCCTCAATCGCAAAAGTAGGCGTACTGGGTGACGGAGTAGAGTGATTGATGATGTGGTTTGACATAGTGGAGCATAGGATTAGGTAGGTGGATTAATCATAGAGGTTTTCCTGGGCTTGTAGTTATAATTCGTAGCTGTAGGAGGGCCTGCTTGTTTCCGTCTTGTACACCTTTCCGTTAGTGTTTGTGATATAGATCGTATGCTCTGTATGGAGTTATGTTGTAGGATGATGGAATTTCCAGCTGGGACCATGTCTGTGGTCTTCGCTTAGAAAGTCCTAGCCAGACAGTGATTGCTGTATATGATTGTTAGTGCGGTGTTCGGGAAGATGAACGCTCCCTAGTATTTTGCCCTTCAGGAGGTAAACTGTACTTTTTAGCTCGCAGTGCCTTGCACATTGGAGCATGCCGGGTCTATGAAAGCGAGGGCAGGGATGGGGGTTATGGTATAAAGGGCCATGTATGTGGTCGTCAGTGGAAACAGTTCACGCCTGCCGTAACTTCTATCGTCTCTGTAATGACGGCCCGCCCATGGCGTTCCAGTAGCAAACCTTGATAGAGTTGATACCTCTCCCCTGCTATTTTTAGGAAATAGCTATACTGTAACTGTCTCTACAGTCGTTTAAACCGCCAGTACCTCCGCGCTTCGCTTTTAGGCCGTTAACGCGGCGGTGGCCGAATCGCTGCGCCGTGCGGGTCCATGTGCATTTGCCTCAGAGCCTCCCCAGAAGGGGCCTAAGACCCCCTGGGGTACTGGTGGTCTAACTGGAAGCCGGAAGAAGCTATGCTTGCCTGCCACATTCACTTTCAGCGAATCGATGCCGTGGTTCTCCTGTGTTTTGGGGGCGTACGCCACCAATCGAGCCACTGTGTGTTGCTGTGGGTGAAGAAGGGAGGGCGGAGAGGGTCTCCCTGCTGTGGTAAGCTGAGGTCTCTGTGTAGCATATGAACTTATAAAGTTTATTTCTTTCTATAAAGTGTATTTCTTCTCCTCAGGTGTCTAGGAAGTATAAAGTTTATTTCTTCTTATAAAGTTTATTTCTTCTCCTCAGGTGTCTAGAAAGTCAACCACGCATGCGGCTCTTCTGTCGTCCTTCGCCGATCCTTGCCCCTTTTGTCTCTTCTCGTCAGGTGTCTGGTACAGTAGCGCCCGTGTGCAGGAGGTCATGCCGTGCGCGCGTTTGTTGGTTCCGCAAGGAACAGCATACTTTTGTCGATAGTGGTGGTAGTCTAGATCTACCATATCCCTTGACGCAAGCTTTGCCAGTCCTTTCAGTTTTCCTGTTCCCCACAGCGCTTGCCGGCGGGCTGAGTAGCATATCTCTGGGCAATACCAAGTGCGGCACCGTCATCGAATCTGCCAGCCAATGGTTGCACAGCGAGTAGCCAGCCAGCTTTGTGAATGGCAACAATGTACGTTGTTGCTGCCGGGGTTAATGTACCGGATTTAAAGTGAGGAGCTACTCGATGAAACAGGAAGCATGCACATGATGTGCGAAAGACTGCAACTGCAGTAGGCAGTGAAGCGTAGGAGTCGTCGGTAGATCAGCTAAGCTTACTTATATGTGGCAGGCAGGAGAAGGACCTGGTGTGGTTGTTGCAGTGATGCAAACTGCCAGGATGGATGACATTGGATGTGCAAAAAGTGATACTCTCTCAGTACATGCTCAGTGGACTAGTACCATTCCTTTCTTCTCTCTCTCTCTCTCTCTCTCTCTTGCTCTCGCTGTGTCTCATTTCTCCGTCTCCTCTTTCTCCTGCTCTCTCTCGTTTCTCTCTTTTGTCCCTCCTCTCTCTCTCTCTCTCTCTCTCTCTCTCTCTCTCTCTCTCTCTCTCTCTCTCTCTCTCTCTCTCTCTCTCTCTCTCTCTNCTCTCTCTCTCTCTCTCTCTCTCTCTCTCTCTCTCTCTCTCTCTCTCTATCTCTATCTATCTATCTATCTATCTGTGGGTGAGGTGTTGGTTGTCTTCCTTGTTCCTCTTTATATCTCATAAAAGGAACTAGTAATGTAGGAACCCTTCTTGGCTTGATGATGCAGAAGCTCGGCCCATGGATGTGGAGGTCTACGTGAGGTTTTGATGTGTTAAGGATTGAACTGTCGGACTGTTTTTAAATGCTGGCGGTGAGTCTGCTGCATCAGCCCATGTGCGGGGTTGTCTTGGGGAAGAAGGTACATGCAACGAGTATGTACTACCTCCGAAGGCTGGTCAAAGGGATGTTTCATAGTGTATTCAGTGCTGACTTGTATATCAAGCGAATCATCGAAGGGATGTGTTTTAGCGTATTCGTTGCTGACTTCAATCTCAAGTGATAATTGATATTTAACAGACCCTTGTTCAATAGATCAGTGTGGCTCTCATCCCGTTTACCTTTCCGCTCGAATTCAGAGAGCTGCCAGCTGTACTGGTGGGTTTCTGATGCGAGGAGAAGATGGATAGAAGAGTGTAGTATAGTTTTTTTTTGAGTCGGTAGGTGGCGTATTGTTTCACTGACATAAGCCCTGTTGATGTGTGGCGGTCTCTGAGTGTAACTGGAGGTGGGTAGAGAGTTTAGGGTCTTAGTCTCTTCATGGTCACACCGACACGCCTTTGCAGTTTTTTTTTTTCGTTGTACCATGGTGTAGATAAAAGGCTTATGTTTATGTCAAGATGTGCAAGGGGGAAGTCGATTAAGGGCATATTTTCACACAGCATTTTTCATATTGCATCTGACCGGAATTACGACCCGATGTGGATGAAACTGGCTGCAATCTCGTCCAGAGGTTTGCAGAAGAAGTCCTAGTGTGTGTTCGGCAGCTTCTGAGGGTGACTCGAGGTGTGCCCAAAGTTTTGCCATCTCTTTCCTGAGGGTGGATCGATTATGCGAGCTGATCGCTTTCAGAAAATGCCTCTCTGATTGGTTATGTAAGCTGATACTCCAGCCACCGATTTTGCGGAAGACAGGAGCGAATCGATTGATGGATCATGACGGAGAGACGAAGGTCGGCTAGTTTTAGAATTTGAACCAGACTGGAATCGTAGCAGCCCTGGGGATTTCTGGATGCCATGCCATCTCATATATAGACGACAGTTGGGTGTGTTCTGCTTGTGATCTGCTCTGTCAGAGAAACACTGATTTAGTATTGACAAATATGTAAAGGCAACAAGGTGTAGGCTCTGTCACGTCTTAATTGCTACGTAATCGGAATGGAGCATGCCCAGTGACTTTTGGACGGCGTCTAATAGATAACAATTAGATGGGTTCTGCTTGTGATTCTGTATGAGACAAGCACAGCGTGCAACTTGCAAGTACTCCGCAGGTTCAGATTGTGCCATTTAAAAAAAAAAAAAAAAAAGAAAGAAAGAAAGAAAAAAAGATTGTGCCATGTCTCGGTGTGAGTATTATGATTATGACTGTTCAGGATGATTGGTTTTTATATGCACAGCTTTGCGAGGACTGTGTGGTAATGAATGACACTGTCGTCATGGAAAACACCAAGGAAATTCTGGCATGCACAATTCACAGGTTCTCTTGGAAATGGCAGTGCTGCTTCTGATGGATTAAAATTTAAAACAATGCAAGGATTAAAAAAAGAGGATCAAAAAAGGAATCTCAGAGAAGAACATAGTGCAGTTTTTTTTTTTTTTTTTTTTGTTAAAAAAAAGAGTAAAATTACCAACTTTTCTGAGTGAGGATGCCGCCCGACCGGGCAGGCCTGGGGGGGGCGTCCGGGTAAACCGGGCGGGCCAGAAAAACACCCAGAAATGTAGCCTGTTGTGCAGTAACAGTACGACACAGTCGGTCATGGTTTATATGTAGTATCATCCAGATAAAGCGACCATATGCTCGGCCGAACCAACCAACCGGATTGGAATCGAAAATCCATATATATATATATATGCCAGAAGGAAGAAAAGTGGTAAAAGTCTGAACGGTCTGGATTATGAATTTAATGGCAGATTGCTTGCTTTTAGGCTGGATTGGTTGTCGACCTGTGGAAGCACCCTTATGTAACTGTTGGACAAATTGCATAAGTTTTTTTTTTCTTATACTTCGCAATTACGCCCTTTTTTGGTAAACTAGAAGCAGAACTTATCAAAAATCATTGTGCATAGCTTTCATTTTGAATTGAATGTCATGTGTGATATGTACCAATTACCCACCCGTTCGGGTGGGGTTTCAATCTTTCTTGTTTTATAGTACATGTGATAAATGGAGAAGCGACTTGTTTCATTTCATGCGTTGACAACATCTAAAAGAACAACAAACAAAATGAAAAAACAAAAAAAAATATTTTGAAGGCTCGAAAAAAAACAAACAAGGCCGGTGAATTTTCACAAAAATTACAAGTGATTCTAAAGTTATCGATTTTACTCAAATAAAAACAGCTTCGCTGGTTGTCGACTTGAGCCCCGATCCATTTTCGGCACGATGAAGCTAGACCAGTGAGCAATTACGCTTTCTTCAAAGGATGGCTGCTTTCAAGCCCACCTCCTGGTTGTAATTGCTCGATCAAAGTAAGATAAGCGACTGATTACATAATCGAGCAAAGAAGGAAAGAAAACTTATGCTCCGTGAGGTTTCAGTAAGCTAGAGCAATCAATGAATTCAATCCCACCGGCGGGCCATCGTCAATTTTCAATTCCCATTAGCCAAGGGTTCAGTCTTTAGAGCTGGGATGGTTGGATTTGGCCGGCGGCGTATTATCTTGTTTACTTACCCACTCTCTAGACTCGATTATATCTGGAGAGAGAAAGAAGAAAGTCCATCTCTCATTTCTCAATCGCAAGAGATGTAGATAAAGTCCAAAAAGCATACCGATGGTCGAATATGAGCCAGGTAATCTCGCTATGTGCTGGAACAAACGAGAATTTGGCACCCAGATACTTTGCTCCCCTTCATCTAGTATGGGTTCCAAATTCTCGTTTGTTCCATCGCATAGCGAGGGTCCACAGGAGACTAGTATGGGAGCTCCGAAACCAATCCCGAAGCGAAGATTGATTTTCCCGCAGTTCTTTTCAAATTTTCCTTTGGGTGTGTCGGTGCGGACAATGAGCAGGGAACTCATGTGTTGATACATGCGCTACGCCCCTCAACGACTACACGCCAGACATCCCTGCTTGGGATGATGATATAGTCTGAACTTCGTGGCGACACAAAGGAGGAAGGCCTCGGTTGAAATGATGTTTGAACTTAGTTTATTTCAATTAACATATATATATATTTTTTTTGTTTTTGGGAACCGGGTTTGTTCTGCGCTCGGCGAGAGGACCCCGAATCTGCAATAGAATTTTGGTTTTTTTTTTGGGGGGGCGGG